GTGTTTTGTGTGTTTGGGCTTTTTTTTTTTTTTTTTTTTTTTTTTTTTTGGTACTTGGATGGAATTTGGGACCTTGCGCTTTCAAGAGCAGCAGAACCACCGAGCTAAATCCCCAGCCCATAATACTTTTGATTGAAGTAAGATCTTCAACAAAAAAAATTAGTGTGAGTTTAGCAAGTTTGATTTATCTATAAGTTGGATCATCTTCCAAGAGCAAGATGTGTGAGTTAGTCATCTTTGTAAAGTACAGTTAAAAAACACTTTAAGGACCAGGTTATAATCTAAAAAACATTCTTACCCAAGTAAATGTGAATGTTTTTGTAAATATTCATCAGTATGGAAATACATAAAGTACTGTTTTTTCCTTCAACCTTTCTTCTTTTTTTTTTTTTTTGGTATCGGGGATCAAACTCAGGACCTTGCACTTGTGGGGCAGGCAGCAGAACCCCTGAGCTAAATCCCTGGCCCAAGCTTTCTTTTCTTTCCAGAGTCATCACTACTAAAATTTAAGTCTAGTGTAGACTAGTCTTATCTCTTTTTTTGGAATTTTGAGACAGGATTTTTCTAGTCCAGGTTGGCTGTGAACTCACTACATGTACATAGTTCAAGCTGGCCTTGAAGTCACAATCCTCTTACTTCAGCCTCCCATGTGTCAGTCCGATTTAAGATCCAGAGACAAACAATTGAGAAAGATTAGTGCAACAGTTTAAGGGTAGTGGTTGTGAAGTTTTTGAGTAAGTTAACCATTTGATGAATTGAAAGTGTGGCTGGTGGCGGGGGCTTTGAGCTGATATTTCAGCCTTTTGTTATGAAGAGAAAAGGGGAAAAATAATTAAAAAACTGGATGTGGTGGCATATACCTGTAATCACAGCACTTGGGAAGCAGAGGTAGGAGGATTGCTACTAGTTTGAGGCTAGCCTGGACTACATAGTTAGTGAGTTCAAGGCCAGCTTGAACTGCATAGCCATACTCTGTCTCAAAAACAAAATGAAAGAATTTTTAAAAAATGATAAAAATGGTATTTTGAGAACAGGGAAGCGAAGGTTGGAAAGGAGGTGATGTTTTTCTCTTGCTATTTCCTGCTGTGTTGAGTCATTGTCTAGCTTTGTGTTTCTTCTCCCCACTGTGAAGGATTTGTTGTCTCGCTTTTCTGAGAAGTGATGGGTTCCTGAGACAGATTTCAGATTCTTTTGTACAACCAGCAAAGAACTGCAAGTAGCATATACAATTGATGGTGAAAGAAAACAGCTACATTTGGTGACATTAATGGGGAATGGTATACTCAGAGTGACTGAGTGGTTTTGTGCCAGCAGAAACAGTAAGGTGGCACAAATGAGAAGTGGTGCCCAATAGTGGGGACATAAAGGAATAAATGTCAGGCTTTTGGATTTAAAAAATTAGTGTGCCACACTCAGGGTGCCTGTCATTGGATCTCTCTGGATATGACTGACAAAAATGACTGACAGGGGGCCAGGAATATGGCTCAGTGCAAATGCAAGGTCCTGAGTTCAATTTGCGGTATTGCAAATAAAACAAAAACCAAAACCAAAAACCACTCTGGGCAGGGGATTTTGCTCAGTGGCCCTGCATCTGCCTTGCAAGTGCAAGGTCCTTCCTGAGAGTGATTGTTGGTGGTGGGAAAAAAAATAATTGACAGGGAGCTGAATCACCTCAGTGATATCTAGTGCTCATGACTTTCCCATGATCCACTCTGGTATAATTACATGCCTAACATCCAGCCCCTACATATGAATGATTAATTTTGAGTCGGGAAATGGGGAAAAAGGTCACTGTGGATCAAGCTACTGTGGCTTAACACACATGTGCTCTGACTTGGAGCTTTAGAAATTTCCAGGGTTTGTTGTTCTTATTTTTGCTTCTCTTAGGACAGTGGAAGGAGGATTGGCCCTGGGGTGTTGCCCAAGTTCAGGTGAATGGAGGGGAGTGATCCCACAGCCACAGTTGTGCTGTGTGTATCAAAAGGATGTTATTCGCATGGCATTGGATGAGGTTTTGGATTGTTGTTCAGATGAAGTGCATCATAGTACAAAACAAGAATGATCCCACTGAAACAGCAGAGAATTATTAGGATTGGGGATAAGATGGTCAGTATTCAATGGAGCTCTTGTGTCTTCCAACTCAATTATGCCATGCTTTTGAATATTTTTGTTGGATCCTCAAGGTGGATTGGTCCTGACTGGTTGATGTAGATAGAAGTAGTATCTTAGTTACTTTTCTTGTTGCTGAGACAAAATAAGACACCTAGTTAAAGGAGGAAAGGTTTAATTTGGCTTATAGCTTGTAGAGGTTTCACCCCATATTCCACTGGCTGTACAGCAGGATGGCACAGCCGAAAGGGATTGCAGAGGAAACAGTCCATGGAAGAGGATGCAGCGAAGCAGCAAGGTGGCAGCAGCAAGCCTCTTTGCCTTTTATACCATCCAGGCTATAGGCCTTTTGGCTGGTGCCATCCATACCCAGGCTGGGGCTTGCCATCTACATCTAGAACTATGACAAACCAGTTAGTGGACCAATACAGAACTGCACACCCTTACTCCCAGTACCATACACCCCAGACCCCCCAGCTTTGAAAAGTCCCACCTGTGAGTGCATGAGGCTTTGGGGGGACATCTAGATACAAGCCATAACAAGCAAGATTCTTCCAAAAATTTAAACATTTTCCTCCCTTTTGGCAGTGAGTAGAGCTAGGCCCTGTCATTTTGTAGTCACTAGTGAGTCTCTTTAGTCTTGGATCTTAATTAAACTTTGAGAGATTTCATTGAGACTCTCCTGTAGGTCCTGTGATAATCTTTGGTAGCATACGGAAGGCACAGAGAGATCACCTGGGCAGGCTTTGCCTGAGCAATGAGGCTGTTTATTTCATGTGTGTGAGAGTCAGCCCTCAGCAAGGGGAGAACAAAGGCTTTAAAGGGGAAGTGGTTGCTGGGGGTTGATCCCAGGAGGAGTTGCTGTCTTGAGGAATTGGGGAGTGGAGAGAGCATGTTCGTGCTCCTCTGAATGGGTGGTGCAGATGTACTTGAACTTCCTGGAACTGAGGAGTTGGGGCATAGTGTCATCTTTGTTTGAATTTTTTCGTATTGTGTTTGCTGAAAATGGCCCCACCTATAGAGTGACAGGTAGAAGGTGAAAGAAGTGGTCAGCCCTGCCACCATAGTAGCCAATCCTGCAGATATCCCCAATGTTACTATACTTTTCAGCAGATATGGTTAGTGATGAGGTCAGGGAGATTAGTTGTTGGGGCCATATTGGGGACAGATAGGCCATGGTACATGTTCCTGTTCTGTTAGTGGGCAGGCATAGATAGGATTGCTGGACATAAGAGAAAAAGATTCCTAACTCAAATAGGCAAGTTGTGAGGTGTAGTGAGGAAAAACGTTGTAAGGTGTACATTCCCTGAATTGAAGAACTTGGCTCACTTTCCAGCTCAACATGGAAACGAGCCAAGGAGGCCCTGGTATAGGTTGAATTAATATAGAGTTATTGGAGGATGAGACGTTAATAAGATCCCATGGGAGAACTTTGGAGAACTTATGAATAATTAGGCCCTGGGAAGAGACTGAAACTATGGATAATCCATAGAAATGGACAGGTTGGATGAACTTTTCATTTGTCTCAGGTGAGATGTAATTGACCTTATGAGATTGACAGTTTTGTGAGCTGTTCACTGCTGGCTTATGGTAAATACAAAAGAGGGCTTGATATAAAAAAGGAGTGTTAAAGGTTATGGGATCAGTAATTGGGTGGGTCATTGTAGGGAATTTAGAAAAATTAAATGAGCTATATCTGAAAGAGTTCCTCGCCTTTGTCTGCTAAGGCTTGTCAAGTATGAGTTAAGTAGAGGCCTGGTCTTTGAAGGCCAGGCTTGTTTTGTTTGTTTTTTGCTTTTGAGACCCTGTCTCATTCCGTAGTTGAGACTGACTTGGAACTCATTATGTAGCCCGGGCTGGTCTTGAACTCACAGCAATCCTTCTGCCTCAGCCTCCCAAGTGCTGGGATTACAGGCGTGTTTTGTAGAGCAAGTTCCCTGGGTATTTATCCAGTCTGATTTGGAGTTGGGGTTCATGGTATAATCCTAAAATGATAGAAACAGACACAGGCAACAATCTTGGACCAGAAAGGAATTTGTCTTTTTTAACAGATTAAAGGTGAGACTGAGGGAATGTTCTAAATACTGGGCTAGAAGTAAATCTTTTGTAGGGTTGGTGGTACCAAGAAAAAGAAGAGAGGGTTATAAAGATTAGTTAGGTATGGAGAGTTTGGGAGTGGATGAATTAAGACCCAAGGCATGAAGTGGCAACTAGCCAGGCTGAGGAGTTACCAGAAGGAAATCTGAAATTTTCCTGTAGATAACAGTCCCTCAAAAGGGAAAAGAGTTCCTGTTTTGTCTGCAGAAGAGGTTGAGGAGAAGCAGAATAAGATCATAGAATTGTAGGGGACTGATTACAGGTTAGGTTATAGTTTGTCCATTTGATTATATTAATTGGTTTTCTCTGGGATGGCTCTGAAGCTAAGTCAGCAGCTGGGGTTTCTACTTTGGGGAACGTAGGGGTTTGGGCTTTTTTCAGAGTTTAGTCTGGAGATGTGGATCCAAGATGGAAGACCCAAAAGCCTTTTAAATTTTAATTAAGGTAATTTAGTGTATTAGTAGTGAGACAATTCTAGAGATCTTTGATACCACAGTTAATTATCACACAGGGTGACAGTGATTTAAATTTTGTAGTAGGGTTAGGCATTGGTCTGAGGCTTGTCTTTGAAAACTGTGGGATTCTGGAAGAAATAAACTGGAGAAACAGTTGTACAAACATGGACCAAAGAAGGTTGTTCAAGAATAATAGTAGCAAAGAAGAATTTGAAAGCTAGAACAAATATTCTTTTTTTTAATTGAATTTATTGGT